TTTATTTTGTGCAGTACAGCCAGCACTCTTAAGGTCCTAAATAGTTTGGAATGTGGCTTTTTATTTTTAATCTCCAGGTGTCTAATTGAGTTTGGAGCCACCAAGGGAATAACTGTATTGGCCTCCTGTTGTAGGGGATGCTCTACTGCAGTGTTTCTTCAGGTCAGCAACATTAAGCTGTGGGTTTCAACTCCCAGAATTCCACAGCCAGCATGGGGGATTCTTGGAGTTGAAGTCCACTCATCTTAACGTTGCTGAACTTGGGAAACCCTGCTCTAGACTTTCAACTTGGTGCCAAAAGCTAGAAGGGAGGCCCTACCATGAAGAGGCTGGTGCAGGTTAAAATATATAGGAAATAAAAGGAAATAATAAACATTTTGAATTAATCCTGACGGTCCAGAGCCCATATGGATGCTGGAGTGGAAGATTTGTTGCACTTGTGTCAGCTTAAGACTAAGAAAATGAAACAGATTGCAGACCATAAGACACAGGCCAGCTCCTTCTAGCCACCTCTTCCTGTATTTAATCTGAGTTTAAGAATTCCCCTAGTAAAAAAGTGATGCCACTAGAAGCTGTGCAGGATGGAGTCTGAGGGAACTTCCGGCTGTTGATTCTCTTCTCTATGGCCATTGTCCCGCTCATTTTGCTTTTTTAAAAAACAAACACCAGTTTGCATACAAAAGAAATAGATCTACAGACGCTATAGCCATCACTCTTCACACTGCTCTGACTCATCTAGAACAGCATGTTGGGGTGGGTGGGTAATGTGAGGATGCTTTCTGTAGATTTTAGTTCTTCATTTAACACAATTCTTCCACATAGACTAGTGCCTAAACTTCTGGACCTTGGACTTTCTTAGTCAATCTGCCTTTGGATTATGGATTTCCTGTCTGGCTGCTCGTAGTGGGTCAGTTTAGGTAATCATACCTCTTCAGCCCTTATTCTTAACACTGGTACACCACAGGGTTGTCTGTTGAGTCCCTTACTCTATTCTTTATGTGCATGACTGCATTCCCACTCACACTAGTAATACTATTACTAAATTTGCAGATGATACAACAGTGGTGGGACTCATCTCTGGGGGGGATGAGTCTGCCTACCGAGATGAGGTGGACCGGTTGCTTTCATGGTGGGAGACAATAACTTGGTCCTCAACACCAATAAGACCAAGGAGCTTATAGTGGACTATAGAAGGAACAGATCGGACATCTACCCCTTGCTTATCAATGGAGACCGAGTGGACCAATTAGCCACTTTTGCTCCACTGGGTGTTATCATAAAAGAGGACCTGACCTGGGGTGCTCACATTACAGCACTGTCAAAAGGGTCCAGAAGAGATTATACTGAGACTTCTCAGAAAACAACTGAATGAAAAACTGCTGACCTTCTACTGCTGCACCATAGAGTATCTTAACTTACTGCACCTGTGTATGGTTTGCCAATTGCACAGTGGCAGATAGGACAGCACTCCCGAGGGTTAACATCATTGCCCAGATCATCATTGGTTGCCCTCTACCCTCTTCAGAAGAGCTTTATAGCTCCTGTTGCCATAAGAAAGTTCAAAACATTCTCAAAGATCCCTCTCTTCCTAGAAACCCTTTTTTTGAACTATTACCACCTTGCAGACGGTAGAGGATAATAAAAACAAGGACAAATAGGCTGAAAAACAGCTTCTATCCCAGGGCAGTAACTATTGAATTCTACAGAGTAGTGCAATATTAATGCAATATCAGGGGGTTTCAATTCAATGTATAGAATGTGAAGGATGTGTGTTTGTACGTTAGTCATAATGTACACTGAAGATGGTATTTAATTTTGTTGTACGAGGTGCAGTGACAATAAAGTAAATTAAACTAGCTGACATCCATTTTCTTTCTCTCACCCAGGACAGATAACTACGTTGCTTATGAAGCAGAAAATCAGGAGCAAAGTTGGTTCTGGACTGAAATATCCCTACTCCAATGTTGGCTTCGTTGACAAGACCGTATGCGCAAGCTTTTCTTTTATCATCCCCTTGACAATGGGGAGAGCCAATGTTCACATTAGGAGGCTCAGCAGGGTGGACAGCTGCACTTTTTTATGAGGGCTGTCTGTCTTTCATTACAATTTAACCTTTCCCTGAACAAAGGTGGAAAGAACCTATGGCAGCCGATGCAGCTGGAAGCATTCTTTCTAAGTCTTTATAGGCCACTGGCCAATCTGCCAACAGGCAGGGCATTAAGAATAGATGATGATCTCATAATTCAAGGACTAGATATAAACTAAGAGTGCTAGAAGAACTACATTGCTCCATTCATCCCAGAGGTTGGTAAATTGCAAGGTAGAACTGAAGGACTTCTTGCTAAAAGTTGTATGATGGAAACAGTACTCAGCGAAGGGAACATTTTAGAGCACAGACACCCCTTTGGTAACAATACTCTTGTTCAGTATTGTATCAGCAGAAAGTGTATATATTGATTGTCCTCTTTCATTTAGTTATTGGAACTATTTTCACTCAGCTTTAGTGGTTTTCCCATATCAAGTCTATACATTCTTATGGGAGGCTTAAACTTGGGGGCAACTCTTTTGCCCCATTAGCAAGGGATTGCTGCCCTCTTTCCTTATAACTGGAATATCCAACAAGGTGCTTGGCAACAGACAGTCTCTGTCCCATCTGATTTACCCCAACCTATAATTTCAAAATGGAGGTCAATCAAACATCAGTTTCCAACTTCAGCTTTATTTTTTAAGAAACCTTTTAAAGAAACCTCTGAATTCCACATGTCTAGAGGCATTTTATAATACAATAAATTCTGGAAGGGGTTAGGCAGTTAGGCTTAAAACAAGCACTTTGATACAGCTAATTTGCTCCACGTTTTGTTGAATTACAGTAAAATGCTTGTTTCAAGCCCATTAGAATTATGCACACTGCCTGCCATCTTTGAAGCACTGGCACAAATGCCCTTTTCCACCAGCATTAAGGTTTCAGTGTGGAGAAATGAGTTTTTGACTGAAGGAGCTTCTTCAAATAGGATTGCTGCAGTAATCAATCCTGAAGTGTCTCCTTGACGTGGAGCTGAGCAGTTTTCCATGGCCACAGCAGTTAGGCAGGAGGCAAAGCATTATAAGTATAAAATTGTCTGAAATAAACATTCTGTGGCCAGCCACTTCCAATTGTATGAGCTCTGAAGAAAACATGTTTTAAAATCTGTTTGTTTTCCAAATTATTTTAGAGATAACTTTTTGTTTTAAAAAAACATTCCCTTGGTCAATGTAGTATCTTCTGAAAATTTTAAATTTTGTTCCTAATTTGAAGTATTTTGAGGTTTTAAAAGAGTGTATAAAGTTTTCTTTCCTGCCTGAAAATAGGAGAGATATACTTTACATATTTGGAAAAAATATTTCCAAATGTTTAACATTGTGTAGAGCAGAAGCCCAAACCTCAGGGGCAACAAAATGAAGGCCTTCAGATCCAAAAGAGAGCTATCTGTAGTAAATAGCTGCAATGTCACTGAGACTGAGTGTGTCTATGCATATTCAGACTGCAAAATCCCCTAGAGTTCTTTGAACAGCTGCAGACACGTAGCTAAATAGCTTCCATAGGAATTACTATTATAAGCCAACAATCAAAACCAGTGACTTCTAAATTTTCAGATATTTATACTCTTCTTTTTGTTGTTTTATATGTTCAACTAGATTGCAAACCAAGATAATTAAATATTATAACAAATACATTGATAGTTTTTCAGCAACAGAGTTTGGCAATGGGTAGAGCTGTGGGAAGTCCAGTTTCCATTACTCCCAGTAAGTTTGGCAAATAGTGATGGAAACTGGAGTCCAAACATTCATTTGGAGGGACAAATATTGTCTTCCTCATACTATGCAAAATTGGGTACAACGTAATTCGGTTTTGGGGGAATGGATCCCGTGCATAAAAGATTAATGATACAATAATATATATTGTATGTATGTATGTATGTATGTATGTATGTGTGTGTGTATGGTATTCAGCTTTGTTCGGGTATTTTCCCACGTCATTATAGTTGTGCTTTTAAAGTTGTAGCAACGTTTCGGCAGAATCTCATCTGCCATCATCAGGCTTCTGTATTGTGTTTGTCTGTGGCCGATATACATATACGTATACATACATACATACATATATGCTTGAAACCAAGCTAATTTTTGTTGGCATGCAATGAATGCTCCCCATAAGATGATGACAATCTCCATTTTTTGAAAAGTGTACAATTGTGCATTCCTTCCTCATCAGACTGATAAATAAGCTTGTTGGAATTCATCAGGCCAATTAATCATCGGCAAGAGTTGACAGCAGAGGTGCTCAATTTGCCCCCCCACCTTTTCCCACTTTGGATAATGCTTCCACAGCCTTTCCAAAAGTCCCTGTGAATTGTAATTTTGAATGTGGAAACAAATAATACAAATATTTGCTATATTTAATTAGGTTTAATAACAACTATGCAAAACATTTTTGCTTTGATCCATCCTAAGCTTGTATGCATATGAAGCATCCCACCCTGAGACAGAGCCTTCAGCCAGCTGCTGTTGGTGATGCTGACAAAGAGATCTTTTTGTGAATGGGCTACAGTTTGTACTCAAAATCGAAACAATAAAGAAAACTGCTTAAGGGATTTTTGATTTTAAATTGAATGAAATTGAAATGAATTGAAATACAGCTTGGTGTCCTTGCCTTGCTTTTTGAAATATGGGTCACTGGCGTGCCATTTAAAGGCCAGGAATGGCCCTCAGCTCCAAAAGGGATGCATCCCCTCCTCGCTGTATCAGATTGCAATATCTAAGTACTCCTTTCTATTTTCCATTTCAAACATTATGGCTATATAAGTTAACTGACTTTTTCCTTCATTAACTTCTGGTCATTCCCAATTCCTTTTAACTGTCTGAGCTCATCAGACTGCCAACATGGAAAATACAATCTTACACTTTAGAAACAGAAAAACCGGAAGAAAAAAAACATTGCACATTCAAGCTGCTACATCCAATCCTGGATATAGCATTATTAAGAACTTTTATGGCATACAGTCATAGGTACCTTTCAGAGCACCTACACTTTTCAATGATTTTCTTAAAACCAAGAGAATATTCAAATGTAATTTGGAACTCTGTGCTCAAAGAATAGAGAAGCATATGAATAAGCAAGTTTTATTTGAATGTGTGTGTATAATATATATTTTACAGACCCTGCTGTATAGCACTTATTTTCAACCAACAATGTGCTAGGCACTTCACAACTTGAGCACCTTTTTAAAAAAAAGCACATAAAAGATTCAACTTTCTGGTAAAAACCCAATACATTTCCCTCATGGGTATGGCATACAATGAAATACAATTATGGTATATGATAAGGCACATTTTCTGTATCTCCAGAAATAATAGCAGTCCCTTCCATTGAGGTTTACTTCCCTTTTTTTCTATGATGGAGGTAGAATGTTGGAACCCACCTGTGGTTCTTTTTTCCTTAAGACATGATTGATTTGATTATCTTCTTTTCCAACAACAGAAATTTTTCTTCTCCTCAATATATGGAGGCCAGATGAAGCATACCTACCAGCTGCCATCCTGTATTTAACCGTATTTCCAAACCTCAACCCAATGCAAGTAGAAAGGATAGTTAAGATCTCAACAACATCCTTCAAAAACTGAATTTATTCCAAAGCCTGTCTTTCTGTAGTTGGGTTTGATTGTACCTATCTGCAGCTCTTCCAGAGGTATTTTGTGAGTAAAAAGCTCTTGCTTTCTCTGGCAATTCAAATTTCTAAATAAAATAATGGGAAAAAGGCGATTCTTGCTGCTTAGCAGAAAGGCTAGTACCTATTAAACAGTTTCCCAGCCAGCATGGGAATATTGGGAGTTGAAGTCCACAAATTTTAAAACCTTAGCAAGTTGCAGGGGTGTCAAACTCGTGGCTCATGGGCTGGATGCATCACGTGCTGGCAATGTCCACCCCCATTTTAGCAAAGGGGGGGAAGGCATGATACGTAATGTGATGACAATGTGACACCACAAGTTTGACATCCCTGCACTATTGTGTTTTTTTAATTCCCTTCAGACTCCTGAGGAAAGTGGGAAATACTTTTATATTAAAGACAAAGCAAAGTCATTCGTTATTATATTCCCTTCAAGATTTAACTTAAAAAAACAAAACAAAACTATAGCTAAAGGGAAAAAAAAAACCACAATGTACTTCTTCATTGACTGGACAGTTCTTATTTAGTAAACCATTGGTTTTAACTTTCATGAATGTAAATTCAAATATTATCAGGAATGTATATAATGCTTTAGTGAGGCACATGTTCCATGGTTTACATGGAGAATTTAAATCAAATGATGCTATCTTGTCCTCAAAAAACACTTAATGCCAAGTCCATATTTGCTTTTACTGAGGCTTAAATATGTCTTAAATCAACAGGATGACAAAGATCAGGCTCTGTGTTACATGTTTATATGTTAAAATGCTATACTCAGGTTCAGGGGTGGGTTTCTACCGGTTCTGTCCACCTCTGTAAAACCGGTAGCTCTGAAGAGCAGCAGACAAAGAACCGGTTCTATGTCTGCTGATGTTTTTGCCCACCTGTCCACCCAGGCTCTTACCTGACCGTTATTTCCTGATTTTTTTCAATTTCAGCTGCCGTGCGAGGCACAGCTGCAGTTAAAAAAGCAGGAAAAAAGGGCTTTTTAAAAGGCAAAGGCTGCTTCTCTGCACGCAGCATGCTGATGACGATGTACAGGCACGCGGGGCAGCGTGCAGGGAAGCACATCGTAAATCACCGAACCTCGTAAATGACCGAACTGGTAGTTAACCCTGTCGGATCCCACCCCTGCTCAGGTTACTCACATTTTAAACCCAAAATGAAAAATTTATTAACAGACATTGTTGTTCCCTTCCCCTGCCCCCCCCAAAAAAACAATACTGTAGTAACTAGCAAAATGACTTCATTTTTAATCTAGGCTGGGAGTCCTGTCACACCTTCACATCTTAATGGGAAAACTCAGTATGATTAGCAATGGCAGGCAATTGTCTCTTAAAGAGAACTTTCTACCACCTCCATGGTTTTTCCTAGTGGATCAGGCAGAGCGGGATGCGGTGTAAGTCAGCCCTTCAGTTCAGATTGGGTAACAGAGCCAACAAGCCTGGCTAGGACATCTTGTGTGCCTTACAACCTGCAGCAGGATTTTCAGCAGGGTCCTGAGACTCCATGACAGTTATACCTATAATGAGATGTTTAAAAGGCCACATGCTGTCTTTTCTTGGGGGACACCTGACAAAGCGATGTCCCAAGCATCCACAGCTAGTAAAGGCAGAAGAAAGCACCATGCTATACAATAAGAGGCAATTGGACTTCTTCTGGCATATTTACCCATGAGCACAGTAGAAATGAGACCCATATTTTATCCAACTTGCAGGGGAGGACTAAAGGTGGACACACAAACATTTTATGCAGCAAGGCAAATGGTGTTCTTTTAAGCATATCTGCAGCTAGGCATTTATTTTATGCAATTATTTGCCTGGAGTCAATTGAGTTCCTTACATTTCTGGAAAATGTCCTTGGAAGTCATGCCCAACTTTGTTTTGTAAATCTCACTGGGTGTCCTCTTTTTGTTATTTATGCATTTGTGGGGTCACTTTCTCATTGATATAAAGCATTAGCCCAGAAAGTTTTGTCACCTGAGGCAGAAGAGCAAAATTTCCTGTTGCTTTTCTTGCTTGCAAAGTTAAGGATTATAAAACTAGCCAAATTATTTTGACATCCAAGGCAAAATAAAAATAAAAAAAAATCCACAACTTCCAGTCTCCCCTGTTGTAAAAACAAAAAATCAGTTCCAGGGACTCTAGGAGGCACCTAAGGTAGCCTCAATCCTGCCTATAGATAAAGTTAGCCTAAAGCAAGAGAACTGTATGGGAACGATGATGGCCTTCACATAAACCTGTCAAAGACAGTAGAATAATGGCAGCAGAGAGAGGGGAAAACTTTGCTGCTTGGTGTAAATGAATCAACAGGAGGACCAGAATCCTAGATCTTGACAAACTCTAGAGCCAATAACAGAGGAAAAAGCATGGCCTGCTACAATGTCTGTAAGCATATATAAGGTGTTAAGGTTAACTGCACCTAGCTAAAAGATTCCCCTCTCCTGATTATGGTAGGGGCCTTGGTTTCCTTTGGATCCAAACCTGAGAGTTCTGAGGTAGATTCACCTACTAAGTGAAGAGGAACCCATTAGGCAAACTTGAGATAGGACCTCGGGAAGAAGTTACTGAGGCAAAATACCCAATTCATTTGCAGCACCGAGGAAGCAAAATTAACTGCAATAGATGCTTCAAGTATTTTGCAGATCCCCATGTTAATCCTAATATTAAAAAATATGATTTTTTTCCCCAATGCCCTTCCAAATTTCTGCTCTGGACTGCTACGTATTAATAGCTGCTTTAGTACTGGTTTTTGGATTACAGATAAAACTGCTCACTGCACTGGTGAAAAATGGAGTAATGACACAAACTGTATTCTGTTTGCTCTGGTTGTAATTATGACCATCGTACATCTCTTACAAGAAACGTCTGCCTGAACCCCTAACTATAAAGTCATCTTATCTTAAGTTACTTTAACTGTTCAAACATGAAGGTCTTTAGAAGGGGTTCTTTTAGAAAGGATTTCTGGAAATAAGATCCCTAAAGATTATGTTCCAGAATTGAAAGCATTGCCAACAAGCTCCAGCAAAAAAATAGGGGACATCCTTTGAAGTAAGCAGGTATAAGATAAACATGGCAGAGTGCCAGTGAGAAATTCATTGTTAGTATAGGAACTTATCAGGCTCATCATTATGAATCTATATATTGCAATCTGCACAAATTGCAATTCAAAAATAATAATATACAATGTATATATTAAGGAGATGTGCACACAAAAATGTCTATTATTAGAATAAGATATGAATACGGATTTTAAGGAAAGCTCAAGAAGAAAAGTGCATTAAAATGAGTATATTATTCTTCTGCCACAAGAGGTTCAAACATTGGCCAAATCCCCAAACACTGATTCATGTAAAAGGAAATAGATATATTTATCTATACTTTATCACAACAATTCTTTTAAGACTATGATCAGGTTCAGATTGATGCTATCTTTAAACTGAAAAATGCTAATGTTTTTCAATATTAAAAATAAATTGACATATGCATTCAGGAAATCTCTGGAGTATCTGTTTTTAAAAAAATCAGAAATATAAAAATATCCATACTATATTCAAATCATCTGCTTAAGAATTTTTGGTAACTGAATGGCAGAAAAAAACTACTCAAGTTTCATTACTGAATTATGGCTTTATAAAGTGTGCAAAGAGAACACAGTTGTATCCAAAATGTCAGTTTTTCCTGATGTAGTAGTAGTTTTATCTTAGACATCAAAATAAGACTTGGCATTAGGAAAAAACTATACAAAGTAAACATTTGGGAGAGTATTGGAAGAAAAATAACAAAATTAGTTTTGGATTTCTTTTAAAAAAAAATAATAACCTCAAGATTAAAAAATAATTATGTTGAACAGAAAATTTCAGCTTTGTACATTTGCCTGCTCCTTCTCCTCTGTGTTCCCATTGAGAAGTTTCATGAAACAGGCAAGGAAGAATTTAGCTAAGCATGATCCAAACAGTGTTAAGCACTTGTATATTCCACCAATTTCAGATGGAAGATTAAGTACATTCCACTGAAATCAATACAAGATTACAGCCTGATTATATGCATATTTACTCAGAAGTGAACCTAACTTCCTAGGAAAGGGCTTTAAAATTTGCTCAACTTGGCTGGATTTTGCCCATTTTTCATTAGGGAAAGCAGATTCCGATTCCCACAACCGCAGGAAATCACATTTTGTCCATCCTTTGGGTAAAAACAGATTTAACGATTGTCAAAAAATGGAACCTGAAGAAATGTTCTCCATTTCTTTGCTGCCCACTCCCAAACACATATTCACCTTTGAGGTGAACCACAATCATACCTAATCCAAAGGGAAATACAGCACCAACTTAGGACAGCAATTATCAAGTGCATGAAAAAGTGCCTATAAAAAATAATGCAGCTATCACATTATTCCCTTTCTCTGGAATATCTAGATATATATTCATATCTAGCATGTATAACCTTGCATGTGATTCACAGATAAATTCAGAGAGCTCTGCAATTAGTCAATTATTTCAGCCCTTGTCCAGCTCGTAGGAGCAAAACTGCTCAAAATTGGTCTGTACAGATCAAGGGACATTCCCCTTGTGGTTTTACTCTTTCTATGGTGATGAGGTTCAGCTGATTGAGAATTCAATTAGTCCTGAGAATGAACTCAAAGAGGTGGTGTTCTTCTTAAAAAGACCTTGCAGTGGGAAGTGCATCTATTTTTCTCATCTGCAATACCATGAGTACCTGCCTGGAGTTTCCCATGAAGATCTGCTGGTCAATGGCGGCTTGATGGAACAAATTCTGCCTCAGGGTTGGTGCCACTCTTCTTTTAACTAAAGTTTTTGCTTTGGAATCACCACGCAGAGGATTAATAAACGGATGTCCTGGTGGAACAGAAGCTGGTAACATGCATTCTTTCCCATTTTGTTGTTTCTTGGATCTTTCTTTTTTATGCAATAAACCAGCAGCATTTTCTTTTCCTGTCAGTCATTGAAGAAACGCCGTAGAACGAATTGGCCCAGCACAATCACGGCGGCTATCATCAACATGTATTTCCAATAAATATTGCTCAAGTCCAGTGCTGCCACCTAGAGACAGAACAGTACCATTATAGATCCAAATCTGTATTAGCCTTCTCCAAACCTGGTGTTACCCAGAAGTGTTGGTTTTAAACACCTAGCACTGTCATCAGCCAGCTCACTGGGAATGGAGGGAATTACAGTCGCCAAAAGAGAAAGCATTAAGTTGGGGAAAGGCGGCTTTAAGATCTTCTCTCAGCATATTCTTTCAAAAGAGTAATTCCGGAAAGGGTCACTAGTATCTGAAGAACTAAAATGCATACACTTGGGTTTTAGAAGGAAGACAACCCTCCCCTGTGCCTTTCTTCACAATTATTCATCAAGGTCCATGTATTATTTACCGTTTGCTTAGCTGCTTTGCATCATGGTTCAGAGGCAGAATGTATGCTTTAGAAACAGAAAATATTAGCCTCAGTATCCCCAGAGAGTTTTAGGAATGCCCTTCCTGGAAACCACTTGGAGCATTTATGAACTGAGTAGCATATAAATTACAGCAAAGTAATCAACCCATCTCCATCAAACAATGCAAAGCTAGAAAGGTCAATTATTTGACCTAGTTGAAAAGATGGCTTCATAGGTTCCAAAGGTCTCTGGTTCAAATTCCTGTCAAGAGCAGCTATGGATTTTCTTTGGCCTCTTCAGTTGAAGGAACCAAGTAGGATGTTAGGCTTCCATAGGGCCCCTAGAAGCACTAGGCTGAGCCCATCGGAATAGATTCCAGTTGCCTAAATGGAGAAGTAGACTTTATACAAACCAGAGGCTTACTAGAGGCAATTGCAGAGCAAATTGGACCTCTTAGGGTGGAAGTTTTTAATGATGTCTTATTGGCAGCCAGGATGTTGGACTCATGGAGGGGGGCATTGATTTCGCTGATCCCGAAGGAGGATTCGGATCCCCGATATATAAACAATTATAGGCCCATTTCACTTTTAAACACTGACTATAAAATATTCACTTCTATTATAGCAAGTAGACTAAAAAGAATGTTAAACGTGCATATAAATGAAGATCAAAATGGATTTCTCCCGACCAGACAAATTAGGAACAACTTAAGAAGAGTACTAGATGCCTTAGAATTTTATGAAGCCCACCCCGAAAAACAAATTGCACTTATGTTTTTAGACGCAGAGAAGGCCTTCGACAATTTAAATTGGCAATTTTTAATCCAAAAAAATTATAATATGAATTTAGGCACCAAATTTGAAAACATTTTAACAACTATTTATGATACACAACAGGCTAATATTATAATAAACGGGGAATATACCCGCCCAATAAAAATAGAAAAAGGAGTCAGACAGGGCTGCCCACTCTCACCCCTGCTCTTCATATTATCATTAGAAGCATTATTAATGCGAATTAGACAGAACGCAGATATAAAAGGATTAAAGGTTAAGAAAGAAGAATATAAGTTGCAAGCGTTTGCGGACGATATGGTTTTTTTCATTGAGGAACCAATAGAAAGAGGACAAAAATTGATGAATGAATTAGAACAATTTGCAGCAGTAGCAGGCCTCAAAATTAATAGGAAGAAAACTAAATTAATGACTAAAAATTTAACAGAAAAACAGAAAATAGAATTAGAAGAAGTTATGGGAATACAAGTGATAAAGAAAGCTAAATACTTAGGAATATGGTTGACAGCACATTGTAAGACACTTAAGGAAAATAATTATGATAAATTGATGCAACAGGTAAAGAAGGATTTAGAAACATGGGGTAAGCTGCAACTTTCATTATTAGGCAGGATCGCTGCCGTTAAAATGAATATTCTTCCAAAATTTCTATATCTATTTCAGACGATCCCAATTAAAGTACACAAAATTTTTTTTTGAAGAACTTAATAAAATAACTGTTAAATTTATTTGGCAAGGGAAAAAAACCTAGAATAAATTTAAAGGCAATGCAGGATATGAAGAGCAGGGGAGGGCTGGCACTTCCAAATTGGGAGTTGTATTACGTAATTAATATATTTCAAAGGATACTCAGGTAAGATGGTTCTTCGGTTCACTTACCCATCCTCCTTGCTGAGCAATCCATCGTGCAATGCGATTGTGTAGCACGAATTCAGCCATGTAACGTGCAATTCTTCTCAGGAAGCCAGTTATGCCATGCTGGTATACATGGATTGCCATCCTGTAGCCGAAGCCCAGCAGCGCTATCACACGCCCCCAATTGATGCCGCTTTCAAACAAACTGGGGAAGAGAAGGGTCCGTTGCAAATTAGAGATTTTCGGTTCTTTGCTAGTTCAGGAAATGCATTACACCGAGGTCTTGATCCCAGCAACTTAACGTCTTGTTCATGCTAATGGTTCTAACGGGAAGAAGAACTGCAGCTTGACCCTGGGAAAACACTTCTGCAATTTAAGGAACTGCTGACAGGTGTTATATGTGTAGCTGTGCACTTTCTAAAGCAAAGTTTCTCAAACTTAGCACCTTTATGACGAGTGGACTTGGCTGTGTAAAGTACCTTTTTCCTCTGAATCTGATGGCTTCCCAGACCAATGATAACCATTATCATGATGATTAGATTTTGATTCCAGCTTTTTTACATATAAAACTCAAGGCAATGCACACTAATACTCCTGCCTCTTTTCCTATTACTTGCATAGTAAATCTAGGAAAAAAGAATGAGATGCCACATGTTTCAATCTCTAGGCTTTTTGAAATGGTTTTGAAAACTGGAAGTTAAATACAAAGATTGGTTCTATTTCAGGCCCACAATCCCCTCGTTTTCCAATCCTGAAACACTAGAAAATTCCAACACCAAAATTTGGTGACAAATCACTGAATATAAGCAGCACAAGTTCATACCAATTTCTAAGGGGGAAAACAAAATGACAAGTTGATTTTTTGGAAAAGCTCAACACCCTAAACAAGGAAAGGGGGGGGGGGACCCTAAAATGATGGAAAAATGTGAAATATGTGTCAAAGTGCAGCTCCCCCCCCCCTTTTTTTTAAATGTTTTGCCTGTCCACAGGAAAAACAAAGGCCAGTAGCCTTTTGAAAAAGCACCTTTTGGACAACCATGACGTGGATGACTTATGACCTGGATAAATACTTAAATCTGTAGGATCAGCTCTGATCTGGCTATCCCACCCTGGAGGGAAAGAAGCTGGCCTTTCTTTCTGCTACAATGTCCATACAGGCTTATTCTGCCACCATGATATTGGGCAGCATCCTTTAAAAAAAAATCTGTGCTAGCATGTGGCTATAGATATTTCATTTTTTAACTTTGGTGTATGGTTGGTTAGAAATCCTTAGCTATCTGATGGGGGTGATTCTGATATCCAATTTTAAAAATCAGCTTTATTACATTAGATGTGGCTGAAAACTGAGCAGGCATAGCATGGAGAGTGTTCCCATACATAGCAACTGAAAAAGAGGAAAGAGAAAGCACAGTAAGTGCTGTTTTACCTCAAGGCAGCAAAATGGTGAAACTTGGCTTCCCAAGGAGGGGACAGCAAGAAAAGAGGACAGGAAAGAGAGTTAGGTAATCTTTAGATGGAACAGGAAAACAATGTTTATGAATGTAAAGATGTATGTATATACATTGTCACTGTTTTCTCCCAGTTGGTGATTTTTACCCTTTGTCATTTCCTTTTAAAAAAAAATAAAAATCAGATGGAAAGGAAAAGAAAGAAACAGAGGGGAAAACTGTGACTAAATCTTTCCTAAGCGGAACACCATAAACCTCCTTACAGCCTCTTGTTTGGGTATCACTGCCATTATAATCTCCAGGTTCATAACGGTTTTCATTGGCTTCATGCTACATCTGATGGCCTAAGAACCTGAAGAGGAATTCTTCTGAATCAGATCAAAGTCCATTTTTAGTCCAGCATACTCTTTCCCATGTTATCTTGTTCCTAAGATAACACATCTGGCAAGCTTACAGGCAGGTCAGTAGTCTACTCTTGCTGCTGTATCCCAGCAACTAGCCCTAAATTAAGATGGTGGCCACTACTCTGTGTGATTGAAGATCCCACCCTCTTTTTCCAATCTGGCTTGGACCCCATCCTGCATGGAGCTTCAGATGAGAGATATACCCTGGGTCTGATTCTGGGGATGGACTGGCTTCATGTAGCTTCAGTGAGGCTGGGAGACAGCTTCTGAAGTCAGAGCACCTTGTCCAAAGCTGATCCTTTCTCTCCATCTTCACAGGGAGAGGTCTGACATATCCTTTCTTCTGTGGGAACCCTTTCCAGAGGCCACAGAATTACAGGAATGCAAATATGTACCTTTTTATAAGATGCCACAAGGCTGGCCTTACATTCAGAAGATTTTTAAAAAATATTTTTAACTGAAGAACCAATTGCCTTTATGCTTCACACAGAAGTAAATCCAAGATCCTGTTATCAAGAGATGCTGTGTGTGACAGAGAAAGTTCTCCAATTCTCCTGAAGGCTCAAAAACCACTTACACAGAACATGTGTTACTCAAAGTGACAGCAGCATACGATTAAATTAGGGGGTGGATTTTGGAACCAAGGTAGTAATGGGCATATTTTTAAAAAACCGTTTGGTATATCTGATTATGAGAACAGCTTGATGGGTGGAAAGCAAACCCCCCCCCAATAAATAAATAAATAAATAAATAAATATCAGTTTAGATTTGTGATTTTGGTCTGCTCCATATTTGTTATTTGTTTGGTTTACATGCCACCAGGAATCCTTGTCATGTACAAGCAGTATAGAGGTTAACATCAACCACAACCTTAAAAAAGACATAAGCATCAAACTCACTTACCTGGAGGCTATTCTGGTGAAGTACTCATATGCATTGTCCTTGGAAGGCTGCAAGGACTTCAGCATCTCAGAGAACTCCTTATCATACCGTGCATTGATGTCATCACCAATGATAGCTAAGCGTCGACCCACCGAATTGTTGATGCTACACAATGAACAAATAAACTGGTTAAATTGGAACTTGGAGGCAGATTAAGTAAACATTTAAGAGCCTGTGGTACTTACCTATTTGGCTCCTGCTGAATTGCAGCAATTTCTGGATCAACTGGCGCATCCCCCTCAGTTTGCTCCTGCTCCTGCTGGTATCGATGGAAAGCATAGCTCCGGAACACCTCCTCAGTCTGTTCAGCTACCAAGTCCTCTGCAGAAGAGATAACAGGGTCCTTCAGCTATTAGCAGCTTCATTTTGAGCAGAGGTAGGTCACAATTATATAAACCCAAGGCCTTCTCCTCTCAGATCAGGCTACTGAATGTCAAGAGCAAAAACACCAACTTTCAGCAGGACATGTTTTGCCTTCTCCAAAACACTGAAAATGTGTCTCTTAAGCCTTTAAAAGAATTATTGTATCTATTTTTCTTCCAACCTCTCCATATCAACTTTTTCCCAAGTAGTCCAGGCCACAGAGATATGGTTTTCCCTTCTTTATTTGCTTATATTATTATAAAAAAACTCTGTGAAGCAGGATAGACATTTCTTCTGCTTGTAAGTCCATTAGATTTAATAACATATTTTCCCAGCTAAAAGTTGCTCTAACCTGCTTATGGACAGAACATCACCTATGAGTAATGTGCCAAGATCATCACTGATCTTGACAGTCAAGTCAGAACTTGAATCTCATTTTCCTGGTCCAAGTATTTTCCAATTAATTTTTTCCAAACATGTTCAGCAACACTGTCTATTGTATCTTAGATGCTGATGGAAAAAGGCAGCTTCTGCTTAAGGATATTAGCAGAGTTTGACTCAAAATTAATCTTTAAGAAATTCAAATTCTAGGTCTTAGCTAATCTGCAACTTGTTTGTTTATCCCAAAGGTCCTTTTCAAAAGGCAACTGAATTTTCTTGTTTTTTTTCCTTGAGAACATTTTGCTTCTCATCCAAGAAGCTTCTTCAGTTCAAGAAAGTCCAGCTGCTTTTTGAAAAGCACTTTTGGGATAACCATGACAGGGATGATTGAATATCTCCATAGACTCAATGTGGGGGCAGGAAGAGCTTTTCCATTGGTTATCTAATGCTGGTCTTTCTTATCCAGTTTTTGTTTTTTAATCACAACAAATATTTACAACAGGTAAGTTATGGCATCCTGAACTATTGTCTTTACAAACAAAGAAGAACTACTGTTACTAAACAGCAAAATAACTATATTCTTCTTCTGCATTATTAAGAGCAAAGAAACTTCTTAAAGAGAACTCAATCAACTTGAATTTATAGAATTTAATATCGGACACCTAGGAAGAGCAGGAAAGAGCACTGGTGAAGCATAAAAACTGAATGGCTTACAATCTTGCTCATGGTAATTTGGTCACCGATATATTAAATAACAGGAAAAAACAGCAAATCATATTAAGCACAATAGTATCTTAATCTTCCACAATATACTAAGCACCACTTTGTCAACAGCAATTCAATCTACCACATCATCCCAAAGGCCCTCTAAAAGCCATAGCTTTCCTGAATGAAACAGTAGTAGGAATATGGTCATTTTGCAAGCAAGCCTTCTTTTTTTAGTTCAAACCTTCTTTTTTTAGTTCAAGCCTTCTTTTTTTAGTTCATCAGATGGTCAGATTTCACTCAAGGAAGGTAGCCTTGAAGGATCTGAAAGTAAGGATTGGGCTCAAATTTTCAATCCCCCTTCTTCTCCATTAGTATACACTTATGGGCTGAATTCTATACACGTGATCTGTAATCTATAACACTCATCACAACATTGTCATAGTCCATACAGGCTGGAATATAACTATGCACAATTAAGAACTCACTAAACAGAGCAGCAATATTGAAGAAGACAATGCAATCTGCAGAAAAAACAGCTGGTAATAGGATTATTTACCCGTTTGCTTTTCCCTCTACACTTCTCTCTCCCATAACTCTTTTTTTTTATCCATTAAAAACATCCAAAAAGATTTTGCTGAGAAATTTTACTCTGGCCTTGAGAAGGAAGTGGGAGAGGTGAAATGACTCAGCCCTGACAAACTGTATGAGAAAACATGAGAAAGAGAATCTCTTGGCTGTGTTGTCCTTAAAAAAGAGGATAACACAGATTCTGTTAACGTATTCTGCAATAATAAAATAGCCTTCCTAGAATCCCTGTGGTGCCTATTTCTTGATCTGATTTACCTTGGGGGGCTGACAGATTTTAATATTTCATATGCTGGATGAGAAGAAATGCAGAAGAGAAGGCAGCACAGAAAGAGATTAACCCTTTGTCATTGGTTACTATTTTTTCCAAACCATGTCTCCCCCCCACCCCCAAGCTATTTTTAGCTGTTTTGGTAAAAGACCTAGGCCTATTGCCAGATTGTGGCCTCTCTACTCCCGAAATGCAAAAGATAATGCCACAGTAGAGAGGGCTGTATGTACTTTCCCCTCTGTTCCCCTATATTTCAATGGAGAATATGATTATGTGTGCTTAATGGACATTATTTTAGACATTTTGCTCCATTATCTTTCTTTTCAGCTAGCAAGTAAAGTCAAGAAATGCAAACTTTTGTTCATCTCATTTCCCCCGCCAAAAAGCAAGATATTTTCTATTGCACTAAACTATTGTAAGGTAATATTCAAAGCAACAAAGATTCTTTCTAGTTGCAGGATCATTATCATAGGCTAAAGTGGGAGCCAGCACAATGCTAGTAAAATGCTGGATTGTGGAAATTCAAGGTAAAATTAAATCTAGCCCTAAAGCTCATTGATGATTTTAGGACAATTGAGCCTAAACTGTCTTCCAAGATTATTATGAAAGTATTGGGGAATGGCTATGTGTCCTGAAAATTCTAAGGACAGAGCAAAAAACCAGAATGCAGTAAAGCAAATGTACTGAAACTAATGATTATCATATATATGCATACTTCCTTGGAGTAAGCTTCAGTCAAGTTCAATTCCTTGTGATTTTAGGTACATATCCATGTTATTTTTCTTAAGCACAGTAAGAGGACAGGGATGGTTTGCTATTGCCTTCTTCCATGATTCCCCCCCCCCCCCCAATTTAACTTATAGCCTTTGGACAGGAGCATCTGCAGAATTTGATGAAATTGTCAAAATGACAAAACAAATGTAGTGATGGTACCACATAAAAGTTGCTTCTTCCATGAACAATACCACAATGATTAAGGGATGGATCTTGTATCACAATTGCAGTGTCTTTTGTGATCTGTCCTCCTGTCCCATTTGCTCTGGGATCCTCCATCCAAGAGCTAAGTAAGTAGGTGACTCTCCTTATTTCTTGAGCCCAAACATGGTCAGCTAATCACAAGTCTTGTGGCAAGACAGTGGAGTGTTTAGAATGATCTTGAAAATGCCCTCTTCTACAGGACATTACGAATCATTATGAGATGCCATGCACTTTTATGTTTTATATCTAACAAAATTTAAAATCACCAAAGTTTCATGTAGGTCCTGTATGCTCCTGCCATGCTATATACTTCATACTTCACCATATACTTACTATCATTCCAAAAGCCATTTAAAGTCAGAAGCAAGTCGATGCCATAATTCTGTACATATTGGTAATTCTGTACATATTAGTACTGCTGAACTATGGCCAGGGTGGATTATCGTCTACAATGTTTGGGCTGCACATTTGATATTCAGCTTCTAAGTGGGTTTAGGATTAGTATCTTTTTACTAAACGCAGTTAAGACATCTCGTCATATGTTTGTGTCATGTATGGCCACTGCAGGTTAAAATAAAACATTAATTTTCAGAGGGCTGCAAAGGATAATAGCTATAACCTACAACACTGAATGAGGTTTTGTGGTTAGTGCAGAGCCATGTTCTTTAGTTTCCGGTTAGGCATGAGGTTTTTTTTAACCAACCAATCTGCAATCTTATGAAATATTCTGTGCCCCCTTACCAAACCTTCTCCAATTAGATTCTTTTCTCCTTTCCCCTGCAACATGACAGCACTATTACCAACAGCCATTAGGGGGAAAAAATCCCCAATTCTCTTTTTGTCTTTACAAAAACATTACTTCCTTTTGCTATGTGAGATTTTTGATATTTTTAAATAAATCACCTTAGTAGGATTTGTATCGTGAAAGGCAAAATAAAACTAGTATCGTGAATAAAAAAATTATACTCAAGAAAGCTGTCATGCGGTTAACATTTTTTGTACTATGTCGTTGAACCCCTTGCTGGCTTTCCACGCTATTGACCTTTCCAAGCTATTTACAGCCCTCCTCCAACTAATCATATATTTATACAGTATCTATATTATAGCATGAAGATTGGAATTATTTGGGAATGTTTTTCATCTTTCATTTAAAGAAGCCACTTAATTATTTTCAAGAGCTGAACTTTCATTGGAAGGCTAATTAAAATGAGGTACAATGGAGGCCCCTGATATGGCTGAAAAATCAGAAGAAATCAGTGTCTTGCACCCAATCAGCACAGGTTTGGGAAAGGAGAACAGCCGCACGAAGTAAAAGCAAGTAATTGCCTCATATTCTCACTGAAGCATTGCAAAATCACCCACAAGTTACAAGCAAACAATTAAAAGAAATCTTTCCCCCCTGCAACCTAGCTTACTAAGAATACAGTCTCTATTTCTACCATATCTTAGCACAGTACTGTAAATGAATCCTGAAAAATAAGCAAATAGGAAAATAAGCAAAAGAGCATTTTTGAAAATTATACCAGCTTCCTGCTTAAAAAAAAACTTGCAGGAGATTTAAAATGTAAAGTGAACTGTCTCTAAAAAAAACCTGCAAAATTGCATTTGGGTCAGGTATTATTAGACACGTTAACAGAACTTTGATTACCAAAAAATCAGGCAGCCTATTATTGTCTACACCGTTTTGCGTTGCCTTAAGACCATTCACCTCCCACAACCCAAAGAGAAACCTGACAGCACAGATTTTATTATTTTACTTAACTTGCCTGAAAAGCTAAACATTTCATCCTCCTCCTCCTTAGGTGATGTCGTGTCCGTCGTGGAAGAAAGACTCGGAGCCAGTGACTTAGTTTCAGCTCTTTATTTGCTCCGAGATCGGCTAGGCTCGTAAGGGAAAAGCGGCGGCTTTTATTCTTTGGCCGCGGCGGCCGCGGCCAATGACACCGCTTTGAATCTCCCGCGATTAGTTTCCACCAATCGCGGGAGATTTGCGGCGGGCCAATCACTGCGGCTCGCTCGGCCAATCAGCTCGCCG